TAGAAGATTGCCCTAGAAAAGGGAAAGCTTAGACCTAACAGCTGGCAGAGAAGGATGCCATAGACAAAGAAGCCATTCACACTGCAGAACCCAGAAAACTTTCAAGAATCGGAGGCCAGATGATCTGGAAGGCCAGGTGAGGAGAGAGGCTGAAATCCCGAATATTGGTTGAAAGTCTATGAGATAAACTCTGAGATTCAAGTTCTTCCTCCTGTCTGTAGAACCAAGAGACTTCCCTGTTTCCACATTAACAGGCAAGAGGGGTTTATACCTTGGTTCTGAACGCGGGGGTGGGGGGCACAAGGAGAGCGGGAAGTGGAACCATGAAGAAACCTGAGGGGGTGAGAGATTGAGATTGCCAGTCTCTTCACCCTCTCATCTCACAGAATGCCAGGGACTCACTGGAAAAAGAAAGAAAAAAAGGAAACAGAAAATGCAAGGTATAAGAGGAAATTTTCAAAATATTTTATGAATATCTTCAAAGAGATAAGAATATATGTCACACTGATAATTAAAAAAAAATTTTAAAAAGAAGAACTTTCTAAGGTAGGAGATAGGAAGTTCACCTCTAGAGAAAAAAAATTCCCTGAAAAAAATCTGACAATGACATTTGGGGTGGCCCATCAAAGCCGTCAGCTTTCTGATCCATGGACGTCCTCCAAAGATCATTGGAATGGCTCCATGGAAGTCCTCCAAGCCCTGTGCATGAAACTTCTAATTAACTTTCTAGTGACTCGCTGCTAAGTATTGATGGACAGCCAAAGACATCAGACATTTGAGAAAAGCTTTCAACATGAAAAACAAAGACCAAAACAAATAACTGGGGGGGGGGGGGCGGAAATAAGAAAGAAATAGAAAATGCAAGATACAAGAGGAAATTTTCAAAATATTTTATTAATAGCATCAAAGAGATATATATATCACACTAATAAAAAAAGACAGGATAATATAAAAAAGAGTGACCATCAGGATATTTTTTAAAAAATGTATATGAATGTTACAGCAAACTAAGGCAAGTTAGGTCAGTGCCATCGGAATAGAGCAAAGAATTGTAAAAGCAAAACAAAAGAGTTTATTCATGTTCAAGGGAGAACAGAACTGACACTAAGAATCAACATGGTGAAAGGTGTGAGGGCAAGATGTATTTAAGGCTGCTATAAGGAAATGTGGGGTGGGTGAAAGTCTCCAGCAGCTGCTTTCTTAGGTGTTGACAACATAGGTCTTGTGTCTTAATACTGTCAGGGCAACACCTGTGACTCCTGTCAGTGGTGGACTAGTAGGCTGTCACGGAAGACTGATCACAATCGATTAGGTCAGCCCAGTGTATGGCTAAAGACGAATACTTGAAATAGAAAGAGGTGTCAGTTCAGAGCTTGCTTGAGGAGTTACAATCACCAGCCTCTATCTCCAGAGAACCGGTTTTGTCCTTTGTTGATGATTAGAGGGTGAGTTGAAATTCACTACTAAAAGCACAACAAAGCTAAGCAATGCTAACATGGCCATTCTCTTTAGCAGCAGCTGTGCCATCTTGACTTTCCTCCCTCCCCGTGAGCATCTTCTCACTCATGTGGAAGCTAAAAGAAGTTGATCTCATAGAAGGAAAGAGTAGAAAATAGGATACTAGACACTGGGAAGGGTGGGGGAAGGAGGGACAAGGAGAGATTTGTGAAGGGATACAAAATTACAGACAGGAGGAATCAGTCCTAGTGTCTAAACCACTGTAGGATTACTGTAGCTAACAATAATATATTAAAGCACTTCAAATATAGTGAATGCTTCCAACACAAAGAAATACTAATCTTTTGAGGTGATGAATATGCTAATTACCTTGATCTGATCACTGTACACTATACGCATGAAACATCACTATGTATCCCATGAATATGCACAATTATTATCTGTTCTTTAAGACAAATAAAATTTTAAAACAAAAAAGGGGCCAAGTGCAGCAGCGCACAGCTGTAACATCAGTGCTTTGGGCCAAGGTGGGAGGACCACTTGAGACCAGGAGTTTGAGATCAGCCTGGGCAACATAGTGAGACCTTGTCTCTACAAAAAAAAAAAATTAAAAATAGCCAAGCATGGAGGCATACACATGTAGTCCCAGGTACTTAGGAGGCTGAAGCAGGGAGATCACAAACTCAGGAGTTTGAGGCTGCAGTGAGCCATGATTGCAGCACTGCACGCCAGTGCAAGCAACAGAGCAAGATTGTCAAGAAAAAGAGGGAAGGAGGTAGGGAGGGAGAGAGGAAGAAAGGAAGGAAGGAAGAATGGAAGGACGGACTCAGTGTTCTAAATCATTGGACAAAATTAATTCAACTTTTCCTTGTTAGATACCAATTGTTTTTTTATTTTTTGAGTCAGAGTCTCACTCTGTCATCCGGGGCTGGTGTGTAATGGTATGCTTGCGGCCACCACAGCCTCAACCTGCTGGGATAAGGCAATCTTTGCACCTCAGCCTTCCAAGTAGCTGGACCCACAGGCACACACCACGACCCTTGGCTAATTTTTTTTTTTTAATTTATCACAGAGATGAGGTCTCGCCAAGTTGCCCAGTTTAGTCTCAAACCCCTGAGCTCAGGCAATTCTCTCACCTCTGTCTCCCAAAGTGCTGGGATTACAGGCATGAGCCACCGGACCCAGCCCCAACTGCTTTTTATTTGAGCAACATTGCTTGTGGGTTTATTGCTCAACAGTGGCTTCTTACTTGTTCTCATTTGGAGTAAAATCTTTCTTTAATGGATCATGTATTGGCATGTGCTTCTTCGCCTTGCTGCTTTTGAAAAGAAAATAATAACAAATTAGAGAAGTAACTCAAGCAAATTAGAGAAGTAACCCAAATACATTACCCAAGAATTCTGACATTTAACTAATATGAATTCCAGAAAGAAAAGACAAAAAAAAAAAAAATAGAAAGGAAAAAGTTATCATAGAACTAACACATTTAAAGTTCCCAAAACTGAAATATATGAATTTCCAAATTCAAATGATTATCTAAAGAAAATTTAAAAGGACTCAAATTAAGGCGGCAATTGTAATTTTTCAGAACAATAGGGACAGATATAAAAATTTAAAAACTTCCATAAAGAAAGAAAAAAAAAAAACTGTCCTCATAAAAACATTGGTTAAAAACTGGTCTTGGAGTTCTTACTAGCAACACTGGAAGTTATAGGAAAATTGAACAATGCTTTAAAATTCCAAGAAAATAAAATTTTCAATCTAGAATTCTACATTTAGTCAAGTGAAAAATACAGATAGTTTTCTGATGTGGAAAGTCTCAAAAATTCTGTCTCCCATATACAAAAGGGGACCCAAAAAACCCCAGAATTTATTTATTAAAAAATATGTATTTATTCTCATATGTTTAAACTTCAGTCACCTTCAAAGTACTCTCCATCTGATGCAATACACATTTTAAGACACCTTTTTCACTGCTCAAAACAGTTTTTGAACTTGTCGGTTTTGATGGCCTTACGTACTTCTGCTGTTTTTTGTTTCACCTCTTCCACATGGAAAAATATTTCCCTTTAAGGACTTGTCATTGGGGGAACCGAAAAAAGGTCTCTCGGGGTGAGATTGGGTGAATAGGGAGGGTGGGGCATGAGGGTCATGCCATTTTTGGCCAAAAAACTGCTAAACACTCAGTGCAGTGTGGGCAGGTGCGTTGTCATGGTGGACGAACCTGTTTGCCACAACTCAGGATGTTTTCCTGCAAATTGTGATACAAATGGTCAACCAAAGTTTTTATCTGGAAGTTTTGAGAAGGTTGAAGGTGACTGAAGTTTAAACGTGTAAGATTAAATACCCAATTTTTTATAAATACATTCCGGGGTTTGGGGACCTCCCCCTTTGTCAAGAAACTTCAGGAGAATGTACTTCATTGAATTGAGGGAGAAAACCAAGAAAGAAAAATATATGGGACCCAGGAAGCAAGAAGTCAAACACAAGAAACAGGCAAAAGGGACTGCCGGGTGCTGTGAAGAGAGGTCCCAGGAGAAAAGTCACACATGAGCTGAAACACACCAGTCCAAAGGTGCAAGAAAACCGGGGCTCTGGGAACCACATCTCCAAGGTGGGAAATGGAAGTGAGGAATTTCCTCAAGGAAGTGTTGCTTTGTTGTTGTAGCTTTTACTACATTAAGAGGACATTTTAAATATTGCCAGAAATTTTGGGAAGAATAAATAATGGGTGCGAGAAAAACAGACTTTAAAAAGAATGCACACAGTAAAGCAAGTCCCCTACGTGTGAACCTTCAAGTTACAAACTTTAATGATGAACACCTGAGTTTTTAATGTATGATTTTTTTCCAGCAGGTGTCAGTACCATCTGTTAAATACATATAATATTATATAGCCGATTGGTTAGTTGGGTACCTCGGCTAACTTTGTTGGACTTAAAACAAACTGGACTTACAAATGCTCTCAATATGGAACTCATTCCTGTACCTACCACACCAAGCCTACCTGCAGGTCTCCTTCAACTCACAGGTTGCCAACTGCAACCTCTAAGTTAGATGAGCATTTGATGCCCTCTAGGTCTGTGACTGTGTGGCAGAGTAACGTTGTATTACTAAAAATCTTCATTGAATGAATGTGTGTCTTAATTACTCCAAAGATGGTTTGATTTACCTGAACTTGACATATTCTACTACATTTTGTGACTTTTGTCTCCACTATGAATATTCACACAAGTCTTAAAACCAGCGATCAGCATAGAGAATTTACTTAAAGAAACACATTCATAAACAAAGAGAGGTTCTACCCACACAGCAAGGCCAAAAAAATCAAGGAGTAATTTTCACAGGGACACAACTGAGTAAGAACAGTCAAAATCGGTCTTCTCAGACATGTTAGTTCACAAAGATAGCAATCACCTTTAAATACAAAGCACAATATCAGGCTCGATGTTTGCTAAGATTCTCTTTAAATCATTCATAAGAAAAAAAATCATTCATAAGAAAACTTTTACCTGCACTAATCCTTATCTTCTTGATTCGCAGATCGAGACAGCATGAAGAGTGGGCTTTTTTTCCTATATATCTTGGGAACTGCAGCTGCGATCCCGGTAAATTTTCTTTCTTCTGTTGGTACCTCTCTACTGGCATTTTGTTTGGAAACCCCCCATTTTACAATTCTCTTTTTTATTTTAATTATATTCTTTATTGCCCAAGCAATGAATAAATAACTTTTAAAAATCAAGAAAATGTACTTTTTGGGGGAGGTGGAGGTCTCATTCTGTTTCCCGTGCTGATCACAGTTCACCACAGCCTCGAACTCCTGGGGCTCAGGCGATCCTTCTGCCCCAGCTTTCTGAGTAGTTGGGACTTCAGGAACATACTCCATACCTAGCTAATTTTTAAAATTTTTTTGTAGAGACGAGGTCTTGCTATGTTGTCCAGGCTGGTCTCAAACTCCGGGGCTCAAGTGGTCCTCCCACTTCAGCCTCCCAAAGTGCTGGGACTACAAGCATGAGCCATTGCACCTAACTGATAACATACTGTTTAAAAACTTTTTTCTTCATAACTATCATGTTCTATAGGATGCCATCAATATGCAGCAGGAAGTTTGGACTATCAGTTTTTTAGCCACAGAATATACCCAAATACCCACAGGACAGGAATAAATAAATTCCCCTAGGGAAGCTATTCACATTGGTGTTATAAACCTAAGAATTTAACTTAGAGTGCACGTCCGTCCTCTGCAGAAGCATCTTCTTCAAGATCAAATAGATATTGACTGAGAAATGTTGAAAGTCTGAAATAAAAACAGGCTAGGGAGAGGAAATGACATAGTAGTCATAACCAGCTCCAGCTCATCCGTGGGAGGCTGCCCAAGCAAATATGCTAACAGTAGACAGGGCTAGAACATTCTCTTCATGGTCAGATATACAGGCCCCACCATTCACACAACAATAAAGCAGCCACACATGTCAGATCATTTGAGAGCATGTCAGTAGCCGCAAAACAACCTGAAAGGTTTTGTTTTTGTTTTTGTTTTTGATGAAACCATGGCTTGGATGATCATTTGGATTGCTCCACAAATGATCTATATCACCCTTAACTAAAAAAAAGATTTGTACTTTTTCACCAAATGGAGGAATCAGCCTTCTTTCAACAGACCAATCAGGTTCTCTATTGTCCCACCCTTCCCTCCTTCTCTAAGTCTAAAATTTTGTCCTTGCTTTTTGGAGAAGTGGGTGACTAGCTTCTGGTTGACAGAAGTGTCAGGAAAAACAGACTCCATGCTCTGACCAAGTGGTTCTTAGAAAACAGAATGTATGACCACCACCAAGAATCATGCTTCAACCGTGTGGAGCTTCTCCAGCTGAAATTATATACTGCATGCTAAAATTACAAAAGTGGAACAAATTGATGTTCAACGCAGAAAGAAGCTCCCACAAAACCACTGTTTTCTCCTGAAAATATGCTTTGCCTTGGCAGCAGTTGCCACTATGTGAATAGACCTCAAAAAGTGTCTTTGAACCAAATGTCTGAACGGCACACCTGCCCACAGACACGTTCCAGATGCTTCCTTTCTGGGGCAATTGTCATCATGCAGACCTAACCAAATACTAAAAAGCTAAATATCTTCTCATAGAATTAACCTACTAGAAATTTTCTTATTGTCGGCTCTGCCTGCCTGAATTCTCCAATTGTAAGTGGATTCTGTATGGTTGGGAAGTTTCAAATGGATTTCCAGAGGGCATGTGAAATAAATATAGGTATAGGTATAATGGTAAAATAGAATTTCAACTTCAGAATATTTATGGAAGAAGAAAGGCTGCCATGTTTTTTGTGCATTTCTTCCTGCTTGGAGGGGGGTGTGGAGAGAAGAGCAGAGACAGTGAACCGTTTTCCACTAATAAGCCTAAAACCTCCCCATCCATCATCTTTCATAATGTCCCCTGCCAGCAACTTGCTATAGTGGCCACCATTTTTTCTGTATTCTCCTCTTCTTTAGAGCTTCCTTAGAAACTTCTTCAAATATTATTACTCCTTTTAGTTGAAAAGGGGTTAAGAAGAAAGAGAACAAACTAAATCTAAAATAAATCCTAAAGCAAGTGTAGTGGCTCAGGCCTGAAATTCCAGAACTCGGGAGGTCAAGGCGGGAGGATTGCTTGAGCCCAGGAGTTCAAGACCAGCCTGGGCAACATCATGAGACCTCGTCTCTACAAAAAAACTATAGCCTGAGCCCAGGAGGTCCAGGTTGCAGTGAGCTGTGATCGTGCCACTGCACGTCAGCCTGGGTGACAGAAACTCTGATTCAAAAAAAAAAGATTTCCTGGTCAATATTAAGGCCAGCAGTGTTAAGAAATCAAATGAATATTCAGATACAAATTTTATAACCTTTTCTACTAATTATCAGTAAGTACTTAAATATTAAGAAAAAGTTCAATGCTATATCATATGGTTGATTTTATTTGACTTCAACTTTCTATTACTTTTCAAAATTATAAAATACAGAATGCTTTGTAAAAGTTTGAAAAACAGAAAATAATTTCAAAAGTAAAAAATAGCATTATTGAAATGTTTTTGCTCTATTTTCACTCGGTCTTTGCATATATAATTTTTTCTTAAATATGATCAAGATTTTGCTTTCAATTAATATTAGACTCTGGGCATTTGCTTATATCCTCAAAAACTCTAGAGAATTTTTTTATGCCATTCACTGGACTACCAGCGTTAGAGAATATTTTTAAACTGTTTTTATGAAGAAAGTATATTGCTACTAATAATGACAACAAAAGTGACTAGCAATTTTTAAATGAGCATCTCGACATGATAATACAAGGTTTTCACTTTTTCAGACAAATGCAAGGTTCTTATCTGATCATTCCAAACCGACTGCTGCAACAGCAACACCTGACAACACTGCAAGTCCCTTTTTAGGAATTGAAGATGCAGAAAATGAACGAGAAATTGCAGCGTCCACTGAAGACCATCCCAACCCTGAGGTAAAAGTAACATCATTTATATTAATATGATTTTTCAGTTCTCCAGAGGCCTCAGTTTTAAAGCATGGACAAAGAGATCGCCTGTGTCTCAGTTTAATTACTTAAAACATAATGAGCACATCAAGTGCCTCTAAACACTAGAAGAATTGTGAGAATTAATGGGTCTTACTCCTTGTATACAATTGTTTCACTTTACAAAATTCAAATTCAGGTTAAATCTGTGGCCATATAGTGTGAAGAACATCATAAATATGTTTAAGGCCCGGCAAGGTGGCTCACACCTGTAATCACAGCACTTTGGGAGGTGGAGGCGAGAGGATTGCCTGAGCCCAGGGGCTTAAGACTAGCCTGAGCAACATGGTGAGACTTTGTCTCTACAATAAATAAAAAATTAACCAGGCACAGTGACACATGCCTGGGAATACACATGTATTCCCAGCTACTCAGGCAGCTGAGGCAGAAGGATTGACTGAGCCAAGCAGGTCAAGGCTGCAGTGGCCATGCTTGTGCCACTACACTCCAGCCTGGGAGACAGAGTGAGACTCTGACTCAAAAAAATAAAATAAAATAAATATGCTTACATGATAATGTACAAAGGAAAATAATAATGAATTTTAAATGCTCAGGAATCGTAGGTTTGATGACATTATCATTGTTTCAAAAATAAATATTTTTCTTTTAAGGCTGAAAAATCTTCAGTCCTAAAGTCACAAGGGGAAGGCCATGAACAGTCCTCAGAGCAGGGCGAGAGTGACGGTCAGGAGCTGGGACTGAAGGACCAAGAGGACAGCGGCGGTGACCTCAGTGTGAATTTGGAGTATGCACCCACTGAAGGGACACTGGACCTGGAAGAAGATCTGAGTGAGCCTCAAAAGAAAAAGCTCCCAGAGAACACTGATGACCTTGCTTCTGATGTCAGTTCCTTTGCAGATTCTAACCAAGAAGAAAGCTTCACAACGAGAGAGGAAAACCAAGAACAGTCTACAAATGATTCACATGATCAGTTGAACAGGAGCAATCAACACAGCCAAGCCCTAATGGATCAAGAAAACCAAGAGCAGGATCCAAATAGTCCCCATGGAGAAGAGGCAGAGGAAGATGAGCCAGGTGAACCTGGCGCCCACAGTGATAACCAAGAAGGGGAGAGAGAATTTCCCAAGGAGCATTCTAACAGCGAGCAGGGGGAGGATGATACCCAAACTGTTGGTATTTCAGAAGAGTCTGATCAACCAACTCAAGTAAGCAAGATGCAGAAGGATGAACTTGAGCTTGAACAAGAGGAGGATGACACCAATGCAGAAGCGGAAGAGGAAAATGTGTCAGACATCAATAAGCACATTCAAGACACCAAACAGCAGCACCAAGAGGGTAAAATTGACCTTGAAGATGTCAGCAACCACAAGGAGCTGGATGAAAAAACTATTTCTGAGGCTTTGCTCGTGGAACCTACTGATGGTAATGTCCAGCCCCGAAATCATGGAGCTGATGATGGGAGTGATGGTGGCCTCAGGCACAGTGCAAGTGATGACTACTTAATCCCAAGCCAGGCCTTCCTGGAGGGCGAGAGAGTTCAGTCCAATTATCACGTCAAAATGGAGGAGCAAAGAGAAAGAGCACGTGAGAATGAAAGTGTAGACACCAGTGAACCTGGAGAACATCAAGAGGTAAGATTACGCGCAAGGATGCTTGTCCGATAACATCAACATTCTCAACACACCGTCAGAACCTTTCTCTGTGTTCTCAGTCTCCCGTGTGTATGCCTATCAGTACATTACTAAAATATACAATTATTTATTTTTGGGTCCGCCTCCATCATGAGGCTGAGAATGCCTGTTTTATTGGGTGCCCTCAGAAGCAGACTTAAATGCCATTTATTTGAGAAGCACGGTCCTGAACATTAGTTACATTAGCACAAGGGAGGGATCAGTGGTCACGACACCGCCAGGGGAAGGAGGAGGGAGAAGGGAGGGGGGAACATGACAACACAAAGGGTACCTGGTCCACTACCAGCGGGAGAGAGGGCTGGCTAGAAGCCCAAGTTTGTCCTGCATGCAGCCTGCTTATGGAGTTCATCCTCACTGTTTCCCACAATTCTAATAAAATAAAATAAAGAAAGAAGTAAAGGGAACAAAGATAGGGGAGTGGAGAAATCAGATGGAGAAGGAAAGGAAATTAATAAAAGGAACATCATTAAAGCCAAGTAAAGAAAATATTTCAGAATTAATTCCTTTCAAGGAGTGAGAGAGCTAGGGCATTTATCTTGACTGAGGAATCCTCGGGAGGTATTAATTTCTCCCTTCAGTCAGTCCTTGGAGCAGGTCAAGTAGATTTCCACAATTTTCCAGGCACAGAAATGCAGATACTGGCCACTGGAGCTAGCTGGAAGGATCAGTTATGACAGATCTGAAGGATGGCAGACACTGACAGCTGCTGCTCTAATTCCTTAAAAGCAGGTGCCATGTTGGACTCAAGCTGAATTTCCAGTGTCCACCAAAATGTCTCTGACATAACAAGAGATCCATCAATGTTTGTTGAACTAGCTATAAAGATGAAGGGACTAGGTCAGACGTGGTGGCTCACTCCTGTAATCCCAGTACTTTGGGAGGTGGAGGTGAGAAAATTTCCTGAGCCCAGGGGCTCGAAACCAATCTGGGCAACTTGGCAAGACCTCATCTCTACAATAAATCAGAAAATTAACCAGGGGTGGTGGCACGTGCCTGTAGTTCCAGCTACTTGGAAGGCTGAGGCAGAAAGATTGCCTGAGCCCAGTAGGTGGCTGTGAGCATGCCACTGCACCCCAGCCTGGGGACAGAGTGAGACTCCAACTCAAAGTAAATATATCCATACATAAAAGATTAAGTTACTACTATATTAATCAAATACATGCCAAAATAATCATTTGGAGACTGCAGCAGGGCGTGGGCAGGGAGGAAGCATATTGCTACTTGGTTATTTAACTATTTGGGGATTTCATGTCAAATGCTGGCAGCCACCCACCAGGAGAGTGGGCACAGTTTGTGGTGACCAAGGGGGACAATATCCTTGGTTACCAAGAACTCTGCTGCCCTTCTAAGGTAGGAGTTTGCTACACTTTAAAAACCTGGTAAGAATAACAACTTCATAGATACCCCCAGCGTAACTACGGAAGCACAAGGTAATGCTGCATTTCCAGTGTTTTCGCAGTACAAAGGGGAGATGACAAGTCTTACTGAGTCATCCCCCAAGGCACAGCACTAAGTCCAGTCGACAAAGATAAAAACCGGTCCTGTTCTCCAAGGGTTACTATCCATCTCCACAGTTGCGACTGATTTCCCTTTCTGACATCTGAAATGATTCTGGCATGAAAAAAACTCTGTGAAAGTATGCACTGTGGGACTATACATTAAATAATGGGCTGGGCATGGTGCTCATACCTGTAATCCTAGCACTTTTGGGGGCCGAGACAAGAGGATCACTTGAGGCCAGGAGTTCGAGACCAGCCTGGGCAACATAGCAAGACCTCATCTCTACAAAAAAATCAAATAAATAAACCACGTGTGGTGGCATGCGCCTGGAGTACCAGCTGCTCAGGAGGCTAAGATGGAAGGATCATCTAAGTCCAGGAGGTTGAGGCTGCAGTGAGCCATGATCATGCCACTGCATTCCACCCTGGACAACAGAGTGAGACTCTGACTCAAAAAATAAATGAATTAAGTAATGACTCTCCCCTTAATAGATTTTATCTTCTGCTGTTGTTATTTGAAAGGCCAAAAAAGCAGAGAGCTCATCAAACGGAGATGAAACGTCCAGTGAAGGCCACACGGGGGTGCACGGTGTTGGTGAGTGTCCACCCAGCAGGCTGTTCGCAACTCTATCAAGGAAGAAACAGAATCTTCCACTTTGAGCTGCCCTCCCTGCAGAGAATTTTTCCTCTCTCCAGTCCTCTCCACGTAAATGCTCCCATTAATTATTGGTATTTTCTAAGCAAATTTGATATCCAACCATAGGTAAATTTGCTTGCAAACTGGAAGCCCTGTTAAGATATTCATAAACAGCTAGAATTCTTTTTTCCCTAAATCCTCTCACTTCTGAGAATTCATTCTACCTTATGTGTTCTCAAATCCATAACTTACTAGTGAATTTAGATTCCATACTTAATAAAGGCCATCATTCTCACAAGCATTTTGAACTTCAGGCATATTTCACCTTTGACCAGCTCACACAGGTAGGCTAAGAAGAGTTGATTGTTCTTTGTACTTCTCCAGCCCAAATTGCTACAAGAGAAAATCTTGACTATCATGTAAGATAGTCCAATGTTAGAAGGCTCCATCTGGAAATGAACACATCCACTGAAGTGGTTTCTAATGTTTTCCCACTTTCAAATGTTCAAAGGTCAAGGGTTTCGAATTTTCTCCCTTGTTAGTAAAAATGAAGCCAATTGTCTGGATAAATTTGCATTTATATACTCAATGTTTGCTCATATTTCCTGTCCAAATGTTCCTGTTAGATTCCTGCACGAGCTTCCAATGTAAGAGGGGGCATGTCTGCAAGGTGGACCAACAGGGGAAACCCCACTGTGTTTGCCAAGATCCAGTGACTTGTCCCCCAGCAAAACTCCTTGACCAGGTGAGTCTTCTACTAGGTAGTCTTTAAAGGGTCCCAAAAGGTTAGTGATTGGAATGAAAGTCGTTTGCAATTGAAGTTTTTGTTAATACAAGAAAAATATAGATGCAATAATATTTGAAGTGATATTGAACAGGAACCAATGCCAGCAAAATCAGAGAGGTTCAACTGTGCCATAAAAGGTAACAATGGCATTTGGGCTGCAGAACCCATTGTTAAATTCATTCTAGTTTTGCAATATCTGCATTTTCATTCTACTAAGCTTCTAAGTGGTCACCACCTCTGGTATAGTTTAGATGATTTTTTTGGTGCCAAATGGGAGAATTATGATTTTAATAGTCTATCATTGCCGGACACAGTGCTTTCATACCTGTAATCCCAGCACTTTGGGAGGCCGAGGCGGGCGGATTGCTTGAGCCCAGGATTTCAAGACCAGCCTGGCCAACATAGCAAGACCTTGTCCTTATAAAAAAAACAATTTTTTAAAGTTAACCAGACCAGACACATAGGCTTACGCCTATGATCCCAACATTTTGGGAGGCCGAGGTGAAAGGATCGCCTGAGCCCACAGGCTCGAGACCAGTCTGGGCAACTTGGGGTGACCTTATCTCTACAATAAATCAAAAAATTAGCCAGGCATGGTGGCGTGTACCTGTAGTTCCAGCTATTTAGAAGGCTGAGGCGGAAGGATCGCCGGAGCCCAGCAGGTCGAGGCTGCGTTGGCCTTGAGTGTGCCACTGCCCTCCAGCCTGGGTGACAGAGTAAGACTCCTACAAACACACAAAAAAAGATAGCCAGTTATGGTGGTATAAGCCTGTAGTCCCAGCTACTCAGGAGGCTGAGGCAGAAGAATCACCTCAGCCCAGAAGGTCAAGACCACCATGAGTCATCATCATCGTGATCATGCCACTGCACTCCAGCCTGGGTGACAGAGTGAGACTCCAAATCAAAAAATAATACAAATAATCTACCTGACCACTTTGGCACAGCACCATTAGAAGCCTATAAGTTTTAAGCAGAGTGTTTTTCAGTGAGCATTTGGCTGTATCAGCGTTTTCTCTTGCTTATCCTGCATAGGTTTGTGGCACTGACAATCAGACCTATGCTAGCTCCTGCCATCTGTTTGCTACGAAGTGCAGACTGGAAGGGACCAAAAAAGGGCACCAACTGCAGCTGGATTATTTTGGGGCCTGCAAATGTAAGATGACATCATTCCTGCCAACCATCATTGCTGAGAGGATTTGGGGTGAATCTGTATATGCCTGGATTATCTATATAGAAACAGGAAAGACGTCATGTCATTTTGAACACACACTTTAAAATAAACTGGGAAAACTTAAAAAATAAGAAGAATTCCCAGGCCTTCTTCATAGGAGATTCTGATTTAATTGGACTGAGTTGGAACCCTGGCACTGTTTTCTTCATTTGCTTTTAAAGTAACCTAGATAATTCTAATGCTCAGCAGGGCTCAGAACCACTATGGTAACATGATCCACTTAATAATAGAGAAGAATCACTGGTTGCTAAATTATTTGCCCTCTTCCCAATTTAAGTTGAGCCTTTGCCAAGAAGTTTTATGACAACATTTTCTCCTAGGAGCGTTTGTGAGGCTGTCTTCCTGCCCCAGGATGCTCTCAGCTGGGTTTGGCTCCGTTCCCACTAAGCGATTTTCCACATTAACAGTGCTCATGGATACCTCTGGTTCTCCCCTCCTTCCAGACACACGACAGGATGAAACTTGTCAACCTCTTGGATGTTAAGTGTGGCCATATAACTTGCTTTGTCTAATGAAATGTAGGGGGGAAAATCATCTATTTGAGCTTCAGACAGAAGCATTCCAAGTTCTCTTCCCCTACAACCCCTGAAGCCTTGTGTTAAGGTCATAGCCTCAAAAAATAGTGGTGTCATTTTGAGCTCCAAGGAGACTACAGTGAGCAGAGCTCTCCTGCCAACTTGTATTGCAGGGGTCCGCAGCCCCTTGGCCATTTACTGGTACTGGTCTGTGGCCTGTTAGGAACCAGCTGCATAGCAGGAAGTGAGTGACAGGCAAGCAAGGGATGTTTCATCTGTATTTACAGCAGTTCCCCTTCACCAGTATCACCGCCTGAGCTCCACCTCCTATCAGATCAGCGGCAGCATTAGATTCTCATAGGACTGGAACCCTATTGTGAACTGCATATGTGAGGGATCTAGGTTGTGTGCTTCTTACAAGAATCAAATGCCTGATGATCTGAGGTGGAGCTGAGGCAGTGGTACTGGCGCTGCAAAGCAGCTGCAAATACAGATTAACATGAGCAGTGAGGTTTGACTGCACATCCCCCCAACCCTACCCCCGTCCATAGAAAAAATTGTCTTCCACAAAACTGGTTCCTGATGCCAAAAAGTTATAGCAGGATTGCAAAATAGACTTCTAGTTCTTTAAGCCATTGAGATTTATCATTATGTGTTACCATAGTAAAAGCTAACCTCTACATTTTCCTCTAATAAATAGCTCATGCGCCCCCCACCTTTACATTTCAACTCTTCAGTTCTACTACAATGGTTCTGGGCCCTAGCTGCACATCACAATTACTACTTTTGGCTAGGTGTGATGGTTCATGCATGTAATCCCAACACTTTGGGAGGCTGAGTGGGGAGATTGCTTGAGGCTAGGAGTTCCAGACCAGCCTGGACACCATAACAAAGCATCATCTCTACCAAAAATACAAAATTAGCCAGGCATGGTGGTGCATGCCTATAATCCTAGCTACTCGGGAGGCTCAAGCAGAGGGCTCCCTTGAACCCAGGAAGTTACAGTGAGCTATGACTGCACCATTGCACCACTGCACTCCAGCCTAGGTGACAGAATGAGACCCTGTCTAAAAAAAAAAAAAAAAATTACTACTCTTGGAGCTTTAAAAACCTCCTGATGCCCAGGTTTCACAACAGACCAATCAAATCAAAATTTCTTTAAGAGGAAGCTGGTATTTAGTATGTTTTTCAAACACACCAGGCAATTCTGTGGTGCCTCTTAAGAGTTAAGCATCACTGTTGTAAGAATGGTTCCCTGAGAATGCTCCATCAGTCAGCAGAAGTTGTTCAGCTTCCTAATACAAGGACTTGCCAGACAACAGGGGTAAGGCCCAAAGATTACAAGATATTTTGTGCTTGTAACAGCTATTCCTGCTTGCACGGACTTTGAAGTGACTCAGTTTCCCCTCCGGATGAGAGACTGGCTCAAGAATATCCTCATGCAGCTTTATGAAGCGAACTCTGAGCACGCTGGCTATCTAAACGAGAAACAGAGGAACAAAGTAAGTTATCTACGTGTTGGCTTCTTGAGTGTCAACCTGCAGGGCCTGAGGAAAAAAAGGTATGTTGGGGGCCAGTGCCTCTGCATAGGGGCAGGTGGCCACTCTGCTCCCCACGCCTGGCTAGCCCACATGGAGGAACAGAATAGTAGTTGTCACTATTCATGCCACGAGGTTCTGGACAATGCTAAATCACCCCATTCCTTCCTAAACAGCAGTGGCCTGAATAAAGGCTCCTTAACTCATACCTAGAACAAGATCTGGTGGAGCAAAATTATTGTAAGTTCAGCCTTTATATAGTCAGGCCCAAACACATCATTTAAATCTACTACTTTTTTTTTTTTACCTTCATTGGCCAAACATAATAGTATGATGTAAAGGGAATTCATTTCTCAAAATATAAGTAATATATTAAGATGCAAAAGTACAGAATATTGATTCCAGATGTTTCCATAGAAAATTCATTCATCGGATAATTGTTAGGTGCATCCTGGATGCCAGGAATTGACCTATGTACTAGAAATACAATGATGAACCAAACCTAATCTCTCCATGAGTTTATATTCTAGGTGGAGAGACAGATTCTAAACAAATACATGCATGTGTGTGTGTGCGTGTGTATGTGTGTATCTGTATATATACATATGTATGCAAATATATAAGTATACATGAAATTATATGAATACATTAAAATAAGTATTTATGCAAATATAATCAAATCAGCAAATAGACACATAAATTATGTCATGTGGAATGAAACATGCAAGTGTGCTATGAAGAAAGATAAAGCAGATTTGTGCATAAACTGCATCAAATGCTATTTGTAGGTTTCAGTTGAGGATGAGAATCAACTACTGACTTAGCATGTGAACATGATAGTTGACCTTGACATAAGTTGTTGCCAGGGACTGGAGAGGTGTGTGGGGAAGGAGGCCTGAGTGGACAGGGCTCAAAAGAGAATAGGAGGGAGGAAGGATGTGGAAGCAACAAGTACAGACAATTTGTTCAAGGAGTTTCACTGTAAAGGGGTAAAGAGGGATGTAGGTGGCAGCTGGCAGGGAAGGTGAGTTCAAGAAGACCAGTTAGCAGTGGGAGGTGGCAGAGGATATTGTATGCTTCTGGAAATAACCCAGTGAAGAAGGAAAAATGAGTCGGGAGCAGAGAATGTGTACCGCTACCAGAGGAAGTTCTTTTCTTGAGGAAGTATCCCAACCGGATGAGGTAGGTTTGGCTTTGATTAGGAGCACAGGAAGTTCCTGTCACACGGAGGGAAGTGGTGTCATAGAAGCAAGTGGATCTGTCTGACTGCTTCTAATTACTCAATGAAATAATAAGTAACACCGCAAGCTGAGAGCTTCATATGCAGTGCTTGAGAATAATTTCCATCCTTCCTCTTTAATACATTGTCACAGAAAGCCTGAGAGTATCAGATATGCAACAGGGAAATTTCAGTGGCGGGTGCCAAGCAGTAACACGCCGGGGCCAAACCAAGACTGAGCAGACATTGTATAGATACCTGGATCAGGCATGTCTAACCTGCGGCCTGTGCAGCCCAGGACAGCTAGCAGTGCAGCCCCACAAATTCTTTTAACATCATTTTTTTTAGCATTTATTTTCTTCATGACCCCATGCATAGTTCCATTTTTGAAGTTCACAGTCACGCCTTATTCATGACATCACTTTTTGGCAGCACATACATTTGTAGGCAGCTGTTTTCAATGATGAAGCACATGGAAAGCAAAATTCTAACAAACATTTCTGCCAAGCACCTTGAGAGCGCACTAAGAATTGAGACCACTTCCATTGAACTGGATATTGATAGATTAGTTTTACAAAAACAAGGTCAGATTTCTCACTAGTTTTATATTGTTCTCATTTTTATCACTTTATGATAAAAATATTAAAAAAAAGAAGTCTGATAATGTATATGCACTACCTATATTACATATTTTATGTACGATGCAAGACAATTCCTCTTTACTCGATGCAGCCCAGGGAAAACAAAAGGTCGGACACCCCTGACCCAGAAGATTAAGAATAGAGTGTACCAGTGGGGATGGAGCAGCACTTTTCACTAACTAAACAAAAATGTTGCCTAAGGCAATTCAGTCCTTTTCATTAAAACCTTCTCATAGACCAGGCTCAGTGGCTCAGCCTGTAATCCCATGCTTTGGGAGGCCGAGGTGAATGGATTGCCTGAGCCCGCGGGTTCAAGACCCGTCTGGGCAACTTGGCGAGACCTCGTCTCTACAATAAATCAAAAACTAGCTGGGCATGGTAGCGCGCGCCTGTAATTCCGACTTCTTGGAAGGCTGAGGCAGAAGAAGTGCCGAGCCCAGCTGGTCGACGCTGCGGTGGCCCAGAGCGGCCACTGCACTCCAATCTGGGTGACGGAGTGAGACTCCAACTCAAAAAAAAAAAAAAAAACCTTCTCATAGTTTCAAAGCATGGGTGAACATTATCTGGTTAAAAGAAAATGTCAAAAAGACTTTAAAAATTTAAAAATAACAAAATTAATAAAGATTTAAATTTCCTCTGAAAACCACAGTTTGGTTGGTTGATTTGTTTACATCCGCTGCTATTCTATGTAGACATTAAAAAAGCCCTGTAGTTTTGATTAAAAAGCATTTAATTTGGTTGGCCATGACGTCCTGAGCTTGTCTGCTGTGTGACTGCTTTTCAGGTAAAGTTTAGCAAGTGATGATTTCATTACACTTGTCTGATTCTCTGATCATCTTCTTCCTTCCTAACCCCAGGTCAAAAAAATTTACCTGGATGAAAAGAGACTCTTGGCTGGAGACCATCCCATTGACCTTCTCTTACGGGACTTTAAGAAAAACTACCACATGTATGTGTATCCTGTGCACTGGCAGTTCAGTGAACTTGACCAGCATCCTACAGACAGGTAAAAACTCTTTACCTTCCCATTACTAGATCATCTCTCCGATATAGGGTCTCCATATCTATGCAAAAGGGAAGTCAAAACAGATCTAAAACTCTCCCAGTTTCAGTTTAGAATACTGAAATGCCAAATAACATGGTTAGGAGTCTAAACACAAAGATGCTTTTAAAACAGCAGACAGAGGTGACACCAAAGTTCCCAAGTTAACATATTAAGGTCCAGCTTCCCATAGAGACCTCTTCACTTTTCTCATTCTTGATCCTAAATTCGAAAGATAATCTGATTGACCCAACCTGGGTCAAGTGCCTACATCTGAACAATCGGGGACGACCAGTGGTTAAGAGCCAGGTTGTCCCAACATGATTACTGAGTACACTCTACAGACATGTAACACAGTGACCCCAAATCTGGGAGGGCTTGCACATAATGTTCTAACTATTCCAAAGAAGTCACCTGGGGGCCCAACAGGGAAAGACATTGGTTTATTAGAACTTACAGGAGGCACTGATGGCAGTCAGTTGGTAAAGAAAGAATCTGCACCTCGAGACAGTCCAGCGAGCAGTTTTATAATCAAGCAAGTTCATTATTCAAATCACTCTATGGTGTTTACAATCACAGTGAGCAAGGGTGCTACCCACGTGGTTCTCACCTCTGCTCTATCACCTGTGCCCCGAGACTCATGCCTGGGAATATACACATCCTTCCAAGACCAGCCTTGGCAGGAGGCTGCTCCCTGAAGGAGGGGGCAGAAACAAGCCAGGTATGGGGAAAAGAGTCCATGTCTGGGTGATCCCTCACAAGATATATGGTAGAGGGAGGACAGTTCCCAGTGAAGAGAGAAACCTTGTGACTCGACATCTCCACAGCTGCAATCTTACCCACAAACAGTTCATTTCATTTGCAGCTTCTCATCTGTGTACTATGTATCAGGCAGACACAGCAACCTTGTGGAAAAAGAAAGGTCCCTGGTGATCCTAAGCATGAATCTTCATGCACAAGTCACCCACTTCACAGGCTGCCATTCATTTCCTTGCAGAGTCTTGACACATTCCGAACTGGCCCCTCTGCGAGCATCACTGGTGCCCATGGAACACTGCATAACCCGCTTCTTCGAGGAATGTGACCCCAACAAGGATAAACACATCACCCTGAAGGAGTGGGGCCACTGCTTTGGCATTAAAGAAGGTACGTTCATCCTCAGCCCAAGGACAGGAGTGTCCTCTCCCCAGACAAGCCCTCAGCCCTCTAGCCTCCTAGAGGGGTCCTGCCCTATGTCCAAATTGAAAGCTAGTGGCCAAAAAATGGCGGCATGCCAGACAGGACTCTCTTGGTGTCCGCACCGTCATCATAAGCTCACCTCTTCCCACTTTTATGACACTCTTTTTTGAAGGGTAGCCAGGGCCAACATGCACTGAAGTCTCAGCAGTTGGGGAGCCTAGGAAGGCCACGTGAACCCAAAGAATCGTGCCAACTCTCAGGAGGTGTCATCTTCTACCTTATTTTAGATCCATCCTTAACCTGGGTCTTGGGTCAAATTTTTAAAAGTCATATGTAAAACAGCAAACTTGTTTTTGACAATGGGACATGTCAGAAACCATCTTAGAATTCATGACCAACACACTAAAGACAGGATCTTACATCACCAGTTGTGTCGAAATATTATTCTTTTAACCCAAAACTGACCCATGACTGCATCTTCTGTGATGTAGAGTGGGTGGGGGGAGAAGATTTGGATCAGAGGTTTCTTTCTTTGCTCCCTCAAGGAAATATTTAAATATAGACATAAGTTTGGTTGGTTTATGCCTCAATCCACTTCCTTTTCCTCTCCTAAGTTATAATCGACTTTTATAAGCAAGTATGTTGTCAATAATTAAGATATGATAGATATTCAAAAAATGAGCCTTAAAAACTGCTTACATAATAAAAAGAAAACTGCTTACAAAATTGATAAGTTTGTGAAGTAATGCATATGTTAATTAGCTTGATTTAGCCATTCCACAATGTATATATTTCAAAACATCATGTTGTACATGATAAATATTAATTATTATCAATTAAAATAAATATAATTTTAAAACTACTGACACAAAGTCAACAGTGAACATCTGATTTCTAAAAGTGAGGTTTTATACATATATTCACAACATTCATGTGGGGAAAAAAAATGCATCTAAGAAGTAAAAAAAAAAAAGTTCATCAAAGGTCAAATTTCTCAAAAAGAAATAACCTAATTCCAGTTACCTGAAAGGCTGAGGCTAATTCCATGAATGTGCCACTGCACTCCAGCCTGAGCGACAGAGTAAAACTCCAATTCACAAAAAAAAGAAAGAAAGAACCTGTGTAACCTTCACTTTAGAAATATCCCCCATAGTACATATAATGCCCTAAAATTAGCAAGAAAGAGATGAGAGTCTAAGGATTTATTTATTAATTAATAGGTAAGCAGAAAGCATTAACCTTTTCCTCTATATGAGCAGAGAATGTATATTTTTGCAAGCACCTCATTCTGTGTATCAGTTGTCTATGCTGCATAACAAGTTACCCCAGCAGTCTGAAATCTCTCTCTCAGTTTCCAAGGGTCAGGGATTGTGGGGTAACTTACCTGGATGGTTCTGGCTTAGGGTCTCTCATGAGGTTGTGGTCAAGCTGTCAGTAAGTGTGGCAGTTATCCGATGACCAGGCTAGGGCTGAAGGATCTACTTCTAAACTCACTCACATGGCTGTTGCAGGAGGCTTCAGTACCTAACCATGCAGGCCCCAGGTTCAGTACCTCAACACACAGGCCTCAGGCTCAGTACCTTACCATGCAGGCCCAAGACTCAGTACTTCACCACACAGGCAGGCCTTGGGTTCAGAATCTCACTGCACAGGGCTTGAGCTCACTACCTCACCACATAGGCCTCAGACTCAGTACCTCACTGCACAGGCCTTGGATTCAGTATCTCACCACACAGGCTTCAGGCTCAGTACCTTACCACACAGGCCTTGTGCTCAGCACTTCATTACGATAAACCATGGGCTCAGTACCTCACCACACAGGCTTTGGGCTCAGTACCTCACCATGCAGGCCTCAGGCTCTGTACCTCACCACGTGGGCCCCAGGCTCAGTACCTCACACTCGGGTCTTGGGTTCAGTACCTCACCAAGAGGACCTTGGGCTCTGTGCCCTTCCTGGGTTCAGACCTCACCATGCAGGCCTTGGGTTCAATACCTCATTATATGGGCCTTGGGCTCAGTACCTCACCACACAGGCGTTGGGCTCAGTACCTCACCACACAGGTCCCAGGCTCAGTGCCTCACTACACAGACCTTGGGCTCAGTACCTCACCACATGGGCCTCAGGCTCAGTACCTCACCATGCAGGTTTCAGGCTCAGTACCTCACCACACAGACCTCGGCTCCACAGGGCCACTCACAGCATGGTATCTAGTTCCTCCAGAGTGAGTGATCAGAGAGAGTACCTGAGACTGAAGCCCCATGTCTTTTATAACCTAACCTCAGAAGTGCTACACCATTACTCTGCCATATTCTGCTGGTCACACAGACCAGCCCTGCTACAATATGAGGAAACCACAGTAGGTGGGCATCACAGAGGGCACCTCGGAGGCTGGATACCACATGTCATTGGAATCCTGTTAGCATTGATATGGAGTGAATATGTTATTTAAAACCCAGACCCATACAAATAATGTCCATTTTCTTTCTAACATCTATTCTATAGAGTACTTACAAAAACTCAAATATATCCCTTAAAATGACTAAAATTGTTTTTCCCTATCCCATACTAAAAAGACAAAACATACCCAAGTGTAACTGCCCTTCACCCTGCCCACCATTATCAAGAGGAGAAAACGCAGCTGGGTCAGAACACACTTATGTGTGCCCTTTTATATGATACATGATTTTAAAGGACTGATAAAAAAGGCAACTTTGAACAGAGGCCATTCATTTAAGAAAACCAGTTTTGTGTCTCTCTTCATATGAAAAACTTCTGGCAACTCCTCAGCAGACTCTATGCTAGGCGGTCGTCTGGGAGGAGCAGGAAGGGTTGAAAGTCCAGTCACTCGCCAAGCTAATGACCTTGTTTGTGCACTGTGGTTTGGCTGTCATGACGTTATTTTGAAGAAGGGAAAGAATGATCACATAATAAACCAATGAAATAGATATTAAATATTCAGTCAGAACAAATAAACAAGTTATTGGCTTTGGGATGTAGCTAAGGAAAAAAAAATCTGTTTGTAAGTATACCCTTCTTTCCTTAAGACCTGGGAAATCCACAGAAGGAGAAGATAAATTTGAGCCAGTGTTTTCCTGAATTCTTACTGCCTGAGATCTTATATTCCACTGGGTCATTAACTAGCTATGTGCATTAGGGCATACCACATATCTTAGTGAGTCTCATTTCCTTATCTGTAAAAACGGAGTCCAGTTAAGAGGTGGAGGGGGCCAGGCTCGGTGGCTGGCTCAGCTTGTAATCCCAGCGCTTTGGGAGGCTGAGGAGAATGGATTGCCTGAGCCCACAGGTTTGAGACCCACCTGGGCAACTTGGTGAGACCTCATCTCTACAATAAATCCAAAAATTAGCCAGGCGTAGTAGCACACGCCTGTAGTTGCAGCTACTGGGAAGCTGAGGCAGAAGGATTGCCGGAGCCCAGTAAGTCAAGTCTGCAGTGGCCGGGAGCATGCCACTGCACTCTAGTCTGGGTGACAGAATGAGACTCCAACCAAAAAAAAAGAGGTGGAGGGGGTCTTCATTTATCTAGTGCCGTGACATACCATGACATATCCATGCCCATCTTCAGAAAACTCACCAAGTTGAGGTGCACAGGGTAAACGAGTCAGATAACACAGGTTCTACCAAGCCATCTAAAGATACTATCCTAGAGCACTGAAGGATCACCAAAGCATTTTTAAAAAGGGAATGACTTCCCTGGGTTTTTATTTAAGAAAGAGTTACCTAATTACATTTTTGGAGAGGCCAAAGAATAGCTGAGAGAATGCTGTAGCAAATCCAGGCAAGAGTTGATAAGAACAGAAGCAGATTTGGGGAAAGTGGTAGATTTCACTTTGGATACGTTGAATTTTAAAGCTCTTGGTAATTGAATATATGTGTCTGCATTTCAAGACAGAATTTTGGGGTTGAAATGCTATGTGGGGATTATGAACACAAAGAGTGATTGATACCAGAGAAGGAAATTAATTCCCCCAAGAAAAAATGTGTTGAGTTACATGGAGAAGGGTTAGGGTTGAACACTGAGGAACAACAACAATTGGTGATTGATGGAGGAGGGAAAAGGAGTTCACGAAAGAGAATGAAAAGTATCTCCTGAAACAAAGGAAGTAAAACAGGATGGTGCCATGTCAAAAAAAGGTGTTTCCAAGAGAAGGAAGAGATCAACAATGCCAAATGCTGCCAAGATGTTAAGAAAGATGAAAGGCCAAGAATGTTCATTGGAGGTAGAAACAAGGATATCTTGGGTGGCCCTGGCAAGAGCAGTTCTGGTGGAAGGAAGGGGATAGAAGCCAGATTCCATAGGCTGAGAAAGAATGGGAGATGAGAAAGGGGAAAGCATGAACGTTAGGGCCAGACTATAATCCCAGCACTTTCTGAGGCTGAGGTGGAAGGGTTGTTTGAGCCCAGGAGTTCAAGACCAGCCTGAGAAACAGCAAGATCTCATCTCTACAAAAAATAAAAATAAAAAAATTAGCCTATGGTAGTATATGCCTGTAGTCCCAGCTACTCAAGAGGCTGAGATGGGAGGATTACCTGAGCCTAGGAGGTTGAGGCTGCGGTAAGCTGTGAGCATGCCAATGAGTGAGATTCCAACTCAAAAAAAAGCTACTAAAAGAGTGAATGTTTGAACTCATCGATTTGGATGCCTTTTAGTGCTCCTGCTGTTTTTTGTTTCACCTCTTCCACATTGGCAAAACACTTCCCTCTGAGGACTTTTTTCATCCAGGGAGACAAACAAACAAAAATGCTCCTTGGGGTAGAGATCAAGTGAAGAGGGAGGGCAGGGCACGGGGGTCATGCCATTTTGGGTCAGAATCTCCTGTACACTCGGCACAGTGTGGGCACGTGCGTTGTCGTGGTGGAAGAACCAGCCACCTGTTTGTCACAACTCGGGACATTTCTTCCACAAATCATGATGCAACCTTCTAAAAACGCCCAGACAAAAACTTTGCTAACTGATCCGAAGGAACAAATTCCAACAAGGGACCTGCCATCCAAAAGATAATTCTGGTTTTTTGGGTCCTCCCTCATAGTATATTTAAATATTTATGAGAAGGGCTCAGTAAAAAAAGGAAAGATTGAGGATATCAGGGAGGAAAAGGTAAAGTCAAAGAAGAATCCTGCGAAGGTCAAGAGAGTTCCTGAGCACAGGTAGAGGAATGAGCCTTCTGGTCAACAGAAAGATCATTTCTCCTCTGAATAACAGAAAGAAGACAAAGGGAATGTGTGCAAATACAAGTAAATGTATAAGTAATGCAGTCCTGCTCTCCATTTTACAAATGATGCCAGAACTCCAAAGAAACATATCAAAGTTCATAACCTTTCCCACCCTCCAGGCTAGATAAAGACTTGCATTGGGTAGGCCAATTACCTGGTGCCCCAGACAGGATAGTCATTTAGTGTGCTTCAAATGAATCTGCTTTAAACATTTCTTTAACAATCGTTGAGTTAGGGTGGGCCATGCAAGTAAGGAGTGATCTCCTTTCCCTAGAGGATGCTGTCTTCTTCCATAGGTGTGGCAAGACGTTCTTGTATAAGTTACTCAACTGAAGACTTGGTGTAACTGGCACTTGCTTCTATTCTGTTCTGTTTTAGCTCCCCTATGGATTAGTACACTTGGCACTGCTTGATTTGGTTTCCCTTGAACCTGTTCTTCCTGTCAGTGACCCTTAACTCCGCATCAGAATTACCTGCAGAGCTCTCTAAATGTCTACTTTCCATTGGCCTGCCCCTAGGGATTCTGATTCTGGAGGCCAAGGATGAGGTCTGAGAATATATATTTTTAGAAGTTAGCAAGTAACACCTATGCCCTTCCAGGTAGAGAATCACCATACTACTACCTTACTAGATGGTTTCCCTAACCACCCTCCCCTACTCTAACATAGTTCATGCTACTACTCTGGCTACTTTCTAAAAGTGTCTTTTGTTTTTTGTTTTTTTTACAGAAGACATAGATGAAAATCTCCTGTTTTGAAGTAAGATTTGAAAGAACTCAAATTTCCCAGCATCCTCCTCTGTTCTAACTACTTCGGAAATATATGCAGCCGTGATGCTTGTAGATTCATATTTAGCTAAATGTTTGCATGTATGAGAAGACAATGAGAGTAATTGCTTGATAACAATATATGCACCAGGCATTCAACATTAACTTCAGAAATAAAACTTTAAGATTAAGTCAATATATGCAAAATATTGTACACTGAGAACAGAAGTTTAACTCATGGTAATTTCACTCTCTGCATCAACTGATGAGATAACTACTAATTATAAGACTTGAAAAAATAATGTATTGGTATTGTTCATAATTTCTTGTGCACTTCAAAAAAGTGGAATATTGCTCTTTTGTGGTTAACATGTACCATTTTCAATATCTTAATACACAAATAAAGAGTCCATAAAAATTCAAATGCTTATTCACATTTATTTCCAGTTATTTAAGAATCAAATGTGAGAGATCTACCCAAAGCTCACACTTCAAATCAAATTATAATGGTACGTACCAGACCCATATATATACTATATAGATAAGTGTACACACACATTCACACAAGATCTGACAAATTCACAAACTCATCCTAGAAAAAGTGCTACATACCTTATTGCTGAAATCACTATGGTCACCTTTGAAGTATTCCCCTTGGGAAGCTATGCACTGATGCCAGCACCTAGTCCACCCATCAAAGCAATTTTGGAACTCTTTTTCTGGAACAGCCATCAGAGCTGTTGTCGCAGAATGTCAGAGTTCGAATTAGAGCAATTAACCAACATGTCATTTTTTTTTTTTTTTTTTGGCTTGGCAAGAGTGGAAGTGAAATCACGGTCATGTTAGTCCAAGTTTATGGGGATAATGCCATAAAGAAAACGGCAGTGTACAAATGGATTAAACATTTTTCTGAGGGGAGAGAAAGTGTCACTGATGAAGAGAGGAGAGGTCAGGACAGCCAGTAACAAGCAGAACTGATGAAATCATTGCAAAAATTTGTCAAATTGGCAGCCAAATTGTAGGCTGACCATGAGAAGCATAGCAGACCAAATAAACATCAATAGGGAAACAAGAAAATCTTAACTGAAAATCTTGGTATGAGAAAGATGTGTGCAAAATGGTCTCAAAGGAGCTCTTGCATAACGACAAAGCACCAACTCACACAGCACTGTCTGTGAGGGAGTTTTTAGCCAGTAAACAAATAACTGTATTGGAACACCCTCCCTACTCACCTGATCAGGCCCCCAGTGACTTTTTTCTTTACTCAAAGATAAAGTAAATATTGAAAGGAAGACATTTTGATGATATTCAGGACATCAAGGGCTCTGATGACCATTCCAGAAAAAGAGTTCCAAAATTGCTTTGACAGCTGGACTAGGCACTGGCATCAGTGCATAACTTCCCAAGAGGAGCACTTCAAAGGTGACCTTAGTGATATTTGGCATTAAGGTATGTAGCACTTTTTCTAGGATGAATTTGTGAACTTAATTGTCAGACCTTGTATATATGAGTGTGGTTGAGGAAAAAGTGTGAGGCATATCTTATAGGAAACAAATAATTGTAAAATAGTAGTTTCTCCTCAATATCCATCATCATTTTGTAAGTTTAAATAGGAAAAAAAATGAATTCAAGTGCTTTTTAACCAAATTTGATTTTAAATGTGCAAGACTCTGTTCTGTTTGCTCCAAATAATTCCAGTTGCTGTGCAGTTAAGCATGTGTGTTGAGCATGTGTAAAAATTTCTGCATGTTTCAGTGCCTCAAAATAAAAAGGTAAAGGTAAAACAGAGAGGTAGGGAACTAGGAAGTGTCTTGATGTCCAAAGATAAATATTACTACTGTAAACTGATAGTGAAAAAAAAGAGTGTGTCATAAAAAAAAATGTGTGTTTTTAATTGAGCTCTTTTTTGGTAACTATTATAGTCTATATCACAAAAATATAAAGGACATCAGGGGCTGGGCACAGTGGCTCATGCCTGTGATTCCAGCACTTTGGGACCCGAGGTGGGAAGATTGCCTGAGCCCAGGAATTTGAAACCAGTCTGGGCAATATAGCAAGATCTCACCTCTACAAAAAAACAAAAAATAAATTAAATAAATAAATGGTATCATAACAGAATTTTTCAAGGTCTGGAGCAAGACAATAAAAGAATATGTTACCCATTTTATTCCACTTGCAGTACTGGAAAGAGAATGGCTTTTTACATATTTTTCTATTTGAAATGAAAGCTATCAATACAATTATCTTTGATTATTTTTTCAAAAAATCAAGTTTGTTGTTGTGAAGAATTGTATCTGTGATAGTCACGGAGAGAATGCACTCCTAGGAATTCTATCTGAAAGATACTCATGGGCCGGGCTCGGTGGCTCAGCCTGTAATCCCGTGCCTTTGGGAGGCTGAGGTGAGTGGATTGCCTGAGCCCGCGGGTTCGAGATCCGCCTGGGCAGCGAGACCTCATCTCTACAATAAATCAAAAAATCAGCCGGGCATGGTAGCGCGCGCCTGTAATTCTGGCTACTCGGAAGGCTGAGGCGGAAGGATCTCCGGAGCCCAGCAGGTCGAGGCTGAGGTGGTCGGGAGCAGCCACTGCACTACAGTCTGGGCGACTGAGTGAGACTCCAACTCAAAAAAAAATAAAAAATAAAAAAAAATAACGATACTCATGGAAGAGCTTTTTTATCAGAATAACCTTCTAGGAGTACTTCAAAACCATAGTTATTATCTCTTTTCTTAGTCCAATAAGTCTCCTGTGCTTAGCCAGAACTACATCACACCATGTTCTTTCTAAATGATTAATTTCAATTTGATTAATCAAAATGTAATTATTATTTGTCAATTTTTTCCAACTAGGAATATAATTTTTTAATTATTCAAAATTTCAGATTTCGTTTTTTTTGTTTTGTTTTGTTTTGTTTTTTTTGGTTAGGTTCTCACTCTGCCACCCAGGCTGGAGTGTAGTGGCACAATCACACTTCACTGCAGTCTCCATCTCCTGGCCTCTGGAGATTCTTCCACTTCAGCCTCCTGCATAGCGGGGACTATAGGTGCACACCACCACACTTGGCTAATTTTTTTTTTTTTTGGTAGAGATGCGTTCTCACGATGTTGCCCAGGCTGCTCTCAAAATCCTGGGCTTGAGCTATCCTCCTGTCTTGGCTTCCCAACGTGCTGAGATTACCACCGTGAGCCACCAGGCCCTGCCTCAAAATGTTTTTATGTGAAACTGAAAAGGTCTTAACTAATTAGAAACTAAGTTGTTGGAAACAATGAAATTACATTCAGAGCATCTGAATTACTAAACTTATGTTGTCTTTTACCTTCAGGCAACTTTTTTTTTTTGAGTCAGGGTCTCACTCTGTCATCCAGGCTGAAGTGCAGTAGCATGATCACATGACCACAGCCTTGCCCTCCGGGGCTCAAGTAATCCTCCCACTTCAGGCTCCCAAGTAGCTGGGACTACAGGTGTACACCACCACACTTAGCTAATGTTTTTGAACTTCTGCAGAGATAAGGTCTCATTATGTTGCTTAGGTTGGTCTCAAAATCCTGGGCAATCCTCCCACCTCAGTCTCCACAATTGCTGGGATTTGGTGTAAGCTACCATGCATGGCCAGGCAACTTTTAAAAATATTTTAGAATAGTAAAAGGTGGTTTTAATGCTAAGAACACTACCTAAATATTTACTATAAATTTTTTGTTTGTAAATAATTTTCACCTTGAAATGAAAAATTTAATAATAAAAAATTTCATAATAATAAATTAAATAAAAAATGTCAAGTCTAATTTCTCTATCACTTAAGGCTCTCACACATAAAGCTGGATGACATATTAGAAAAGCATTTTAATATTCTAGGTGGCCACAATTTTTAATTGTGGGCTGTTTGTGATAAAGACACTACTTAATCCCAACCAAGGAGATGAAGTTATTTTCTCGGTAATCAGCCTGTAAGCTTACTTCTGTGTAATTGAGTTACTTTAGAAGTTGGAGCTTCTGGTCTGAAAGCAATTATTCAGTTTAGCTCTGAATTTAGTGACTCATTTTGCCCGTAACCATCAAGGCATTAGGAATATGGCTTAAATACTGGATGGGAACAGAGATTCTAGATCCCACCGCTCCCGAATGTGTTGCTCCGAGGGCCGTTTGAAGCAAAGGTAACTGAAGAGAGATACAGTACAATTTGACTGACCTATTGCTCTAGATAAAAGAATGTAAGATAGTCTTGTGTTTGGTAATTTAATGATTTCTAATAGGGCCACATTTTAAAAAAAGAAATTCCAGTGTTTGAATCTAGAAAAAAAATACAAAGGAAAAACATGAAAAAGAAAAAGAAGGAGAATAAGTTGCCTAAATTCAGGCAAGGGAAAATAGCACTGAGATAAGTCAGTGTTGCATTTTAAATGTATATAAAATAGCTGGAGAGTGATTTATATATATATACTTTTTTTTTTTTTTAGTTGAGTCTCACTCTGTCACCCAGACTGGAGTGCAGTGGCACGCTCCCAGCCACCACAGCCTCGACCTGCTGGGCTCTGGCAATCCTTCTGCCTCAGCCTTCCAAGTAGCCGGAACTACAGGCGCATGCTACCACACCCAGCTAGTTTTTGATTTATTGTAGAGATAAGATCTCGCCAAGTTGCCCAGGTGGGTCTTGAACCCGTGGGCTCAGGCAATCCACTTGCCTCAGCCTCCCAAAGTGCTGGGATTACAGGCTGAGCCACTGAGCCAGGCCGATTTATATTTAAATAGATACAACTTGCTTCAGATGCTGGGGACAGGTCTTAATGAAAAAATATGATAATGCTGTTTTTCTCTCAAAATCCAATTCCAGAGTGCAGTGATTTGGTTTGAAACTTACAAAGTAAGTTAATTTGAATTAAATGTAATTTTTAAAACACAAAAAGATGTACTTTCAGAACCACAGGCCAATAAAAAGCCAGTTGATTTGCTTTATTGAATTTACTTATTCTCTACCCATTATGTTTATTCTCTACCCATTATGTCTTACAAAAATTTTCCCACAAAATTTCCCTTCTGAGAAATTGTAGCCGTCAGTAACAGTACCCAGACAGACCCTATGAAGACCTGGTAAGTCTCAAGGAGGCACAAGCTCTCCTCTCATTTCAACCAGTGGTGATCAATTTCCAATGTTAAGTACAATGCAACATTAGTGTTTAAAGATTTGTGTGAGCCAGGCTCGGTGGCTCAGCCTGTAATCTCACGCTTTGGGAGGCTAAGGTGAGTAGATTGCCTGAGCCCGCGGGTTCGAGACCCACCTGGGCAACTTGGTGAGACCTCATCTCTACAATAAATAAAAAAATTAGCCAGGCGTGGTAGCACGCGCCTGTAGTTCCAGCTACTTGGAAGGCTGAGACAGAAGGATCGCCGGAGCCCAACAGGTCGAGGCTGCGGTGGCCGAGAGCGAC